ATTCAGTACAGATAAATGTCATTTGAAAAAACATAAAAGGTACAAATAGTACACCTCAATGCTCTACTGGTGCATAGTTGATAAAGAAAAGTAAATGGGAATAGTCATAAGACAATTTAAATAAATGAATTACCATATTAGTTCCAGCTCCAAAACAACAACTGCCTTATGCTTTCCCAGTATAAAAAATAGAACACACTTCTAGAAAAATTTGCATATTAACTCTTTAAGCTGAGAACCTTTTTCAATATTTCTGGAACAATAATAAATTCATAATGTATCATACACTGTATGTCAGTGTTTTGTTCATTTGTGTTGTGTTGTTCTCTACCATGTTGGCACCGGAGCACACACTACAGAACTCAACCAAACAAGATTTCAAACAATTCTAATTGTTAAATTGAAAGAGATGTTTATAGTAGACACTACAGTGAGTAACCAGGCTGAGATAAGTAGTTTTACATTGTGGTACAGTAGGTGCCTTTATCAGGAACATCCTTCTCTACTTAGGCTTCCATAGGAGTTATGCAGCTGTCATGGTAACTCATGTACAACATTACTGTATACCATATGCCTTTATGAGTTTATTTTAATATAATAAGGAATAACAATTTGTTTAATCATTATCATTAACTACACCATTTTGTATAAAATCTGTTGTTCTTGATTCCCGATGTTTACTGTAGGTTTTATTGACACCAACTAACCTTAACCTCTCCCCCATCTCCTAAATACTAAAACTGTTATGAATTTTGCTTCTCAGATCCCCAGAAGAAAGATTCATGTCAGTACTTTACATATTTTGTTAATGTAATCATGCAACACAATGTTTTTAAGTTAAAATGTTATTTACAATAATTGTTTATAAAATGTAAATTATATACATACTGTGTATATTTGCACAGCCTGTTTTTAATGATTTACCCAAAGTAAATAAACCAAAAAGCAATTGATAGAACAATATTCAAAAACAGTGTTCACTGCAATCTGACCTAGGTGGAAGTATCAACAAGACACAAAGGATAGAAAAATGGCCACAATTAATATGATCTAGGTTCTTATTAAAAGGATGTGAGGAACAGGCTTGTTGTCAAATTGCGTAATTAATCTGGATGAATATTTTCTTTGAAATGGAAAAATCATGTGGTCTGTTCATGGAAAATCATTGATACACTCTGTCATCCACTAACATCAGATTGTAACAACTATGAATAAAGGCTATGCGTGATTACAGCTTACACTAGTTATTGAATTTGTGATTTGACATAATCATGGACTGAGTAGTAACACATCCATAAATGTACCGTCACCCACAAAGATATAAGCTGTATTTAATCTCTTTTACCAGCCAATATAACTGTTTGCAAGGTTTCTGTGCTATAACATTAACATTAACATTAACATTAACATTAACATTAACATTAACATTAACATTAACATTTGTTTTCACATACTGTAATACTGTAGGTATTAATATGGGAATTATTGCCAGAAAACTGGGGGTACTGAATGCTTTTACTCAGATTTTAGACTCAGTGAATCATGATTCCATTCAAAATCGAAGGAAATCCCAAGAGTCTCAAATTCCTTATAAATGCAGCTGCCTATTGATCATCACAAGCTTCTAGGTTTCTAGGATTTAGTATCAGCAGAGGAATTCTCAGCATCACATGGTGTGGGTATGTGAACTTCAATACAGTTGGCCTGATAAAATGCAAGGTTCGATTTATTGTACAGTATAGCAAATTTATGCTTCGGTCTAATATGACATACTGTAACATATTAAATTACATGTAATATAATACTGGCCTTAAGAATATATTCAGGGATGCAGGTTAAAGGAATGAGGATTCATCTCATTTAAGTGTTCACCCTAAAAGTCTACATTCTGACATCTGCAACATGGAAGAGTTTGGTATCCAAAAATGGATATCAATCTTATGTTTAAGTAAGACCAGACATATTTTGTTAGCACCTTGTCATTAGCAAGGTCTTTAATAAAAATGCACTTCATCTATTTGAAGAAATTTAAGATTTTCAAATGTGGTTTCGAGTGTGGACAATATGTCCCCTAAGAAGCTCATCATTTGTCACTTATGATTTTATTAATCAGTGTCAATATATATTGTGTTTTTCATTAAACACACTTCTCTTATGTTGTAATTGCACAACTGCAGGGACAGAATCACACAGGTTTTAAGAGTCTCTTTACATCATCAACCTTGGAAGACCTTTAAAAAGTATGAAATTGGACCAGTTAAGTTATGATTATTTCATTTATAGGTGATCATTAAGAACAGATGCACAATAAAATACATTAGACACAATGGATCTACAGGACAGGAGACAAGCACCACTGTTAAGAATGTTGTGTATAAATAACTTTTAACCTGTATGGGTGTTCCAGGCCTAGGAGTAGAGCAGTGAAAGGCTCTCAACCCAAAGCCAATCTGAACAATCAAGGTTTAAGGGGATGAAATTAACCTTTTGAGCCTCTAACAGAGAAGACTACCAGGAGAGCTGATTCAAGAATTCAGAATCCTCAAAGTCATTGACAAAGTCAACCCAATGGATTTCTTCTGAATGAATACAGTAGATAACACGAATTGGAGGACATACAGAAAGATGAAAGTATGTGTTAAAACTATAAACAAGACTCACTGTACTCAAAGGGTAGGAGTATGGAGCAAATCACCCAGGCTTGTGGCTGAAGCTGATAATTTGGCTTCCTTCAATAAACAGATGGATGAAAGAAACTTGCTACTAACTATCAAATATGCTAGAAGGGTAAAATTGACTTCTCTGGCTTGTAACCATTCTTATGTTCTCATGAGCACAGAGTGTGCTTTCTAGTATATGGAGAAACTGAATTAGAAAGCAAGACTCTTAATCACCATTTCTTGCTACACTCACTTCAGGCCATCATTGCTGTTATTTCGCTCTTTAGTCAGAACACAGGGATCAATTATTCTTTCCTCATCTGAGCTACCATCACTAACATCACCTTCATTGCTATTTGTAGAAACTGCTGAAATAGTTAGACTGCCTGACATCAAAGTTTGTTGAAAAAAACCTGTAGAACAGATCTTTCTGCAAAAAAGAACTCATTTATATTATTTACACTGAAATATGAATGAAAAAATGTTCTTTAAAAATGCCATACTTCTCATATTATTAATTATTCATTTTCTTCACATTATCATTAAAATGAATTGTATTCTGTCATAATATTTTTTTTAATGAACTTCATTGTGCTCTTAGTAATGTGCTTCAACAGTTGGCAGAGGTTGTGTGTAGTGTCTTGGTTACCAGTCATAAAGATTACATTGCAGTCTGTAAAATTAACAAAGCTACACAATACAACTACCCCCTCTAATGGTTAATTAAAATATCACGATTTGACATTTGAGACTTTTTTTTTCCCTCACACCAAAAGAGTACAGTAAGTAGTGGTTTGTCTTTCTTCTAACAAAGACAAGTAATAAATTGATCATTTATAAAAGGAAAACAGAGGAAAGAGCTTAGGGTATTGGTTGTGTTTAAACTCCTACTAATGTCAAATTCCAAAAATAAAACCGTTCCAATATGTTCAAATCAATGCCTTCTATGCATTAGACTCCTAATAAAACACACCTACTGTAGCAAACAGTAAATCTTGAACACTGTAGCTGTCACGTGTCCACAGCCTGGGCATATGGGACACACAGATGCATTGGATTGCGTGAGTTGTATGGGTGCGGATATGTTCAAGATAGCTTGGTATTAGTATTTACAGTACAAGTATTTGTATAAGGGGAAGAGCTTCTGGCCGCTGTCAATAGCATCTTTCATGTCACCATTCACTGCCTCCCCCAGTATGTAGAGAAAGCTGCTAGTGTAGGGCTCTTTAGGTTATATACTGTACATAGGCAGAATTCCTTCAGAATTAGTGAGACGTAATCTGGAAACCAGGTTAACTGTACCCTATTATAGTGCTAGAAGGGACTTTGGGCCCTGTACAGTGACTAAAGCAGAAATCCCTGTTCCCTGAGCTTGGAAAACCACAGTTTCAGAGCCGGGACAGGGAAAAGGCATGGACAGCAAGTGGTAGGGCTTGGAGTGACTCATTCATTGTGCAAATCCAGCCCCAGTATACACTTGCTCTGGTTGATCATGGACAATCGCCTCATTTAGAAAGTTTTTATTTGATGTTAGTTTAATAATTTGTTAGAATGCGTACCTATTGGGCAATGTGTTTTGTAAAATAATGTTTATTTTGATAGAAAAAAGTCACTTATTTTTTAAACTTGAGATTACTGTTCATCATAATATAATCATATTATCATGACTGTTTGTGAATATTGATATTTGAAAGTGCCAATTTATTTTTTTTAATAATTGACCTAATTGCACTTACTGTATATTTCCCAAATTAGAACTGCTGACTATCTGTTCACTTGGTATAACAGCAGACAGAATTATAGAACAGCTGATCAAGAAATTGACAGGTTAATTTCTATCAGTTAAAGAGCATCTCTAAAACCCAGTCCTATTTCTAAATGTCCAGAATTATAGGCCAGATCTCAGGTTTAGCAACAAGTGGTGGATTTTTACCCACTATTAATTACTTACTCTGAACGCTGGCTGACAAAATTCTGAGAAAGAAAAAGCCTCTATACTTCTTAAAGTAACCAGGATAACACTCTCACGTGTTTTCTTTTCACATTGCAAAAAGAAAAACCAGAAGTGTGCACCTGTACTAAACCAACGTTTACATTCTTAAATTTCACTTACTCATTTTCGTTCACCGCTATTTCCTAAAACAAATCTTTCTATTCCTCAAAATGTTAAAAAATGATGCCAGCTGAAGCCGATTTTTATTTTTAATGCAAGCTGCAGAAGGTTCACCACGAACAAACCACCCTCGCCATCCGCCTGCAGAGCTCGCCGAAAACTCGGTGTGCGTGCGAGTTGTGTTCCTGTCATTTACATAGCTTTCAAAACATTGGAGAAAGCGAGAGCATGCGCACACGGCAATATTTGAGTTTCATTCATAGACAAAAGCTGCGGTATTCAGGTTGTCTTTGTTGATTAAGACTTTAATACCTGCATTCTTCATTATTTCTGACCCAAGCCGCCGTGACCCAATTTTAAAGTGCAGGGGACATACAATGAAGAAGCGCTTTGTAGACGCCAGCAGGCTAAGGAAAATGAAAAGGACTAAAATAACGGAGAGGCTTTCGGAAAGGTATGATCAAGTGACGCAGCGAGCGATACCATTGCTTTGTTGTTTTGTGTGATGATGCGCTTCGTAATTCGTGCCTGGGTGGCGATATTATTCTAGCATTGACTGAGTACGTAGATGCCTTTTTTTTTGCAATTAAAGAAATTTCAAGAAGGACTAGATAATTAGATAATCTATTATTCTGTTTCTCTAATAATAGAACGTGTATGAATTTTAGCAGTTTACAATGCATTGTTAACAGAATGCCTAATCAACTTTTAAAATTATATGCTGTGCATTGTTATTATGTATCATTATTATTACTGAGAATACTCTGAACTTGCTTGTCCAAATGTTATATAACTTTACAGTAATGCTTGAAAGGAAATTGATGTCTTTAACGTGAAGGTGTTCCAGAGAGAGTCTTCGCTAGTCAGATCGCATTGTGACAGATTAGAAGGTGTACACTGTATCTTCAAGAGCACCAGCTAACACTTGAGACGAACATGTCTAGACCGCGAGACATTTCCATTGCATGGTAAATCAGACAAAGAACATGAAAATACACTTTTTAATGGCAGTTACAGTATGTTACAGACGTGAAATCGTGTCGGTGGTTTTACTGTGATTATTGAACGAGTTACTGTCGTATACTTCAGTTTTCAATCATTTTAACATAAAAAACAATGATAATATAAAGATAGAACATGGATGTTTACCTGAATCCAGCATAGCCTAAGACTTTAGATCGGAATAATGTGATCACTGTTGAACGTCTCATATACTGTAAATTATTTGTAAATTTACGTATTTATGTATTATTTTTAGCAATGTTGTGATTCACCAAGGTTATGCCTGGGTGACGTGTATGATGTTGTTATATAATACACTTAATACTTATTTGTATTTTTTCAGATTTTATTGTGAAGATTTAGGAAGAAAATGCCTCATATTATTAAGAGCACTGAATGTTTTTCAGACATGCCTGACACAAGCGGTTACAAAAGCGTCATTACAGTCGAGACATAATTATCTGATTCGTGTATAGTGTGGCTAAATTTTTGATAGGCAGGGTTTTTGTTGTGTGGCTCTTTGTTTCAATTTGTTCTTTAAAAATGTTGTTTGGTTACTAAAGTGATAACTGGGCTCTTACACAGAACAAATAAATGAATGTTGATAATATCTGTTAATACTTAAGAACAAAACGAATTCATTATTTACCAGCATACTGTATAGTATTTTATATTACATTGCAGGCAACGATCAAATGAAATTACCTAGATTTCAGATTAAAACATTGGACAATATTGCAAGGAACTATAGACCAGTGTTTATTAAACGTGCTTTTTGGAAAACCTGATACTGTACATAACAGACTGTTGCCAGTTTGAAGGATAATACTGTATGTGTGGATCTTTTACTCATGCTTGACATTGAGATACAATCATACTGTATGTTCTAATGCACAACCACGTGGAGCTCTGATAGGCTGAATGGCCTTTTTTTTTCATAAAGCTTTTCATTTAACTGAGGGTCCTTTCTATCTTTTGTGTTTTTATGCACTGAGAAGAGAAGTGTTTTAGAATTGCTGTAATTTTTTTTTCTGTCTCGCAAGTAAAACGGTATACTCGGATGGAAACTGCTGTTTATTTAGGGTTTTCAAGAATAAAAGCAGAGCACTACTAGACAAAACTAGACCTTATTCATCTTCACCTTCCCCGTGGAAGATTTTCTGTTTTTTTTAGACTGAGGGGGTGGAATATACAGTAGTATATACAGTACTATTTTTATATTTCATGCAACTGTATAACAAGGAGTGCATTTAAAACTGAATCAATGTTTCATGGTGAACAAATTATATATATATCTTGCATATGTATTTTAAAATATATTTAAGTTATATACAGTAATGGAATTGATTATAGAGACAGAAAATGTCAAACAACACATTTGTTCTTATGTGTAAAAATTTAATTAACAGCTGCTGATAAAGTGCACTGTTTGGCAGTCATGTGAGCATTCAGAAAATTCTGCTGTTGGACTTGGAAGATAGGTTGATGATGCCATTGTTGTGTGGTACCTGTGGCTCCTGAGAAGGAAATATCACATGATAAACATGTTGACGTTAAAGTCCTAATCAGATGAGAATTCATGTGACAAATTGCAGCCAGGTTCCATTAATCCCAGTGCTACTGTGAGATGGTACAGCTGTGGTTAGATGGTACAGCAAGACTATAACTTTACAAAAGTGCTGTTAAATACCTCAGGTTATGTTCTCTTTGTGATATAGTACATGATTATTAAGTTTACTGTAAGCTATACATTGCTATGCAAACATCTTATACATGTTACACACATTCAAAAGTTGCAATACAGTATATGGTTGTTGTAAAGATCAACAGTTTATTCAAAGCATCCAATAGTGTTTTCTGTTATTACAAATACTTTGACTGTTATTAGTGCAGCTTAATTTGGGTAGGAAGAAACCAAATTTTTCATTTAGCCATCTTTAAAATTGCCTTGATCCGTATCTTCGAAACCACGAACACAAGAACTTAAGGTAAACAGTTCTGTATATGAACAACATACACAGTAGAAGCATTCTGGGGAGCAGTATTATATTGTAGGCCTTGGGTAGAAGTTATTCTTTTGAAGTTCATCCAGAAAGCTCCAGTTGGAGCTACAGTATTTGAATCTTGCTAAGAGAGAATGTTGTTCTGTAGCTTTTTGAGAGCTTGGAGTTCCTGAGTGAAGAATCTCTTGGTTTAAAACTGCATCTCATGCTTAGATAGGCTCGATTTTATGTTGTACATTTAGCATCCAGGTTTGCAGAGAGAGTGATTTAGTCGCAAGTTGTACTCTATTATTTTAGAAGGCAGCCTATGTCTTCTTTTGGCTTTTGTAGGCATTAGGAGTCAAATACTGGGTTTTCTGGGTGGTCTAGATGTACTGAAGGTCTCTGAAGCACATTGTCTGTAAACTTGTAATATACAGTGTATATAGGGAAACCTATGTGCTGTATGTTAATTTGGTGTTTAGTAAAGCGAGTGTATTGTCATTATTAATAAATATTTGTTTAAGCTTGTGTGTCTGAATTATTGCTCTTTTCACCAAAACTGTGCCAGAGAACAAATAAATAACTTTACCAACTGCTTGGGTATATGCTTGGAGAAATCATTTGGTGTACGGGGTTATGGTTATTTAATTTAGTTATTAACTAAGCTGCTCAATCAATTCCTGTTATTCACCATCTTCATAACCCCCCATTTGCAACAATATTATTTGGAATGAGGAGTTTTAAAATGGTTGTCTGCAACTACAGAACATATTGGCATATTCAGTTATGAATCCAATTAGATGGGAAAGATGTTGTAACATAGTTACAACATAGGGATGAGTCTTTAGATTAAGCACTTTTATGAAAGTGTGTGCTTACATTGCAGAAACAAAATTCACTTGGTCAGAGTAAAAATAAGTTGCGCAGTAATTCAGAGCTGCATGATAAAATAATATGCTTCAAAATAGATACATTGTAAGCGTCAAAAGCTTATACTTAAGCATATTTAATCAAATGAAGCTCATAATTTACAGTTCCATATGATACCATTTAATACAGCTTTTGACATAGAATCAACTCAAGTTGAACAAGCTGTTTAAAAAACGGCTATGCATTTTCTTTCCAACTGGTAAATTAAAATGGTTCCTGTATTTGTTATCCCAGACATGTTATTTTTACAAGCTACAATTGAGAAGCTTCTTTCTAGTTCTATTACATTTGTTGTCAGAGACTGAATGTACAAATAAGTCACTACTGGTAAATAATTGAGAAGTAAGTAAAAGTTTGCACATGGAAAACTTTAAGCAGGTAGTATATTGGATTACTTGTTTTGATAAAGTCAAAGTCCTCTATTGCTGCTTTTTATGTCCTCTCTATTTAATTTTTTCTATGACAAATGGAAGATATTTGGAGAGGAGTGGACTTTCATTTGATATTCATTTGATTGGGAATTCTGAAGCTAAAATGCTCATGAAATTGAAGATTTTCAGGATGTCCTTGCAAGATGAACAACAAAAAAGTTTCCGTGTTTAGGGTTCCTGCTCCACAGTCTAAAATGTATTCCAGTAAGTCTGATGTTCACCTTCATTCTTTTGAACATCTCTGGCCTCTCTGTAGTAACATGAAAGATAGGCAGTGCCTTTCAGTTCATCTTCCACTGATTAATTGATTTATGTACAGATATTTAAAAGTGATGGAAATCAACTGTTTCATTTTAGAGGGTATTTTCACAGGCAATCCTGTATTTCAGAGTCTTTGTGAAATGCACAAAATCATTAATTTGGTAGAACTTTATTCCTTTTTTAGAATCTCATCCAGCTCTCAAAAAAAATAGGGTATGATATTCAACAGCATAACTTTGTCACTTGTTCCATACTCCCACAACCCTTTGGGTAACTGACTCCTATTCTCAGTTTTAAATGCACTTTAAATGTGCAGACATCTTAGTATGCACAGGCAGAAATGTAGCACATGAAGTTAAGGGATTTCCTTCATGCAGTCTGTCAAGTACCAACCAAAACAGGGATGCTGTTTGGTATTAGCTTGTTGTATGTGTCTACTGAACATGTTCCACATTTGTTTGTGAATATTAAGCAAACACCTAGTATTTCTTAACTCTAGTCCTGGAATACTCCTGTGTCTGTTTGTTTCAGCTGGATCCTTAGTCACCAGTGCCAATTGCTGACAATAATTGATCTGCTTGATTTCCCTTTTTTTCTGCACACAGTTGTGGTTCAAAAATAGTAGTTTCAAAAATACCCAACCAGAGCAGTTCTCAGTCCTGCTCCTGGGTAACCTCTGTGTCCTTTGGTTTTGCTCCAGCTAACTTCTTAATTACAAATTATGCTATTTACAGGTTATTTCATTTATTTTAATTTTCTTTCAGCTCTGAAAAAGCTAGAGAGGACTTATAAACAAACCTGGTGCTAATTGTTAAATTTCAGAACTGCCCTTATATAAAGTATGTGAGCAGAAATATAACTAATAGCAGTAGGAAAAACATCAACTTATGTACCCTGTGTCTCTGTTCAAATATTGATCACCTATTAGGAGCTGTTTAGTTAGAAATAAAGAAGAAAAAAACCTGACAAGTAGAGAAGAGACAGCTTACAGTTCTGGGTGCTGAAATTGTTGGAAATAAAGCAGACACAGGGTTACTTCAAACCAGGGCTGAGAACCATTGTTTTAGCCATTGTTAATGGTAAATGGTGTTGCCATTACAATGCCATTACAATGTGTGAATGTACAGGGCTGAAAATGCTGTCATCATAAAGTTATTCAATGAGATTTCCAAAGACAAAATAAGCTAAATTCTACAGCTGAGGTTATCACTCCCTATACAGTACTATGAGATGGCAACCACTAAAGCAGTAATAAACAGTATTTAAATTCTCTTGTATGCCTGTACTCTATGATTGCCAAATGAGAGACAACACAAGCCTTTTAGTGAAGAAAAGAAAGCATCTTTTTGCCTTATTTGGGGGAGGCTGTCAATCTTCACCGAGCTTTAACATAATTTCAGTGTGATCAAAGCAAATCAGCTAGTGTACTTTTTATGCATGCAAATCTTACCATGTGTGACAAGAAATAACTTTGTGTCATTTCATACTCGGGAAGGTCAGAGGCACAGTAAAAAAAACACTTGAGTCCTTTCAGTTCCTACAGGTGATCACCAGCCTCTCACATAATATATTCACATGGGTAAATAGTTACTCTTGCATAAATATTTGTATTCCACACACCCAGAAATCAGAAATATGGCAATGTATTTGATCAAAATGTTAAGTCACGGTTAACAGTTATTTGGGCTAGAACCTCTCAAGAACCTACTGTAAATTGACAAGTTCACTTCTAACAAGTTGATGGACTTGGACAACATGGCTCATAAATTCACTAGAGTACCTTATGTGGTTGAGTAGATCATTACAGCTATTGATGTGGTCCACTGTAATCACTGGTGCTCAAAATACTTTGAGGCATCCTTCAGCTCTTTCTGCAGAGAAAGTTATTTCTCTGGACAGTGACTCTAGCTGAGAAGTAGGATTTTGTTTGAACTGGGATAATTTTCAAGCCTCTACCTCTCCTGTGCATCTGAGCACAGACTAACTCTTAACACGTATAAGCTACACTTTTGTTTTACTCCTGTCCTGTGAAGGGCTCCTGTATGTTATTGGAATTTCCACGAAATGTATTTCTTTTCCCAATTCCTAACGTAGAGATAGCTGCAGAACAATTATCTTATTAGCTGTGCAGAACTATGGGGTCCTCTAGTGGCAGTAGATGGCACTACAGTTCTACTTTTGTTTCCGACTTGTGAACCTCAGCCTAGACAATAATGCCTGCACATGTTCAAGTTGTGCCAGTAGTGGAAATATTATTTAGGGGAAACCGGTTGGGTAATGGGAACAAGTTATGATAAGGGCTGGGTCTAGAAGAGGACATAGGGGAATATTGTTTTAATGATACCCGCTCTTTCAGAAAACATAAAATGTTTATTGAAGTGAACTAAAACCCATGATACAAAACCCCTTGGGGATGAACTTGGAGAATTATATTACAGAAAAGAGTATTTGGGGTTGGATAACATTTGCAAATATGTAGTTCATTGATATTTTTAAAACCCCCTTTAACTAAAAGTCACATTTATACCCAGCATTTTACATTTGGTTATATATATATATTTGGGGAACAAATCTGGAATGTGACAAGATCATATGTGAAATGTTTATGTGACATGATACAGGTGTTTAGTGACATGATGGGTTTTTGTTTTAGTTCAGAATGTCCTCAATTACTTCTGACTCTGGTTTCCAATTCAATATTAATTATTTCTAATTATGCATGGGTATATTTGTCTTTTTAAATTGGATGGAACAAGCTAAATTGTGGTCAACATACTGTGTAGGCCTATAAACACAAACCGTTGGTATAAATTGGAGTAGTTAATAAATAACTGGAGGTCTATGCAATTAAAACATATGAGGTCCACAGCTGTTTGTAAGTAGCTTTATCTGTTGACATTAAAAAATGTACATTTAGAAGCATTCATTACCTAATACTGATTTGTGAAGTGTCGCTCTTTTACAGTATGAGAGATCTTGAATGATTCATGTGTTTTAAGTACAGCTGCTGTCTTCAGTGCAGGATGGTCTTATTCTAGCAAATACAGTTTTGCATCTACTTGTTATGACTGCAGTTTTGTCCAGAATGAACAGGATGTGCTTTTGGATGAAGAACAATTGACACTACACAATACACATTACACATTACTCTCAGACAACAGTTTCTAATTTTCTACAAGGATGTTATTTACAAGTAAGAGATAGAAGTGTTTCCCATAAACCATTGAAAATCCCAATCTGTTACACTGGTACAGTATTTAGAAAATGAAATATTACTAATATTATCAGAACATTCTAATTAATAATTAGATTAGTTATAAGGCACACTGACATAAAACTAAAGTATTTCAACAAACTTTTTTCTCTTTTTTTCAGTGCTTTTACTTTTCTGAAATTCATGATAATTTGGATTCTGGTTCTCCTGGCAGATTTTATTCTAGAGTTCAGATTCGAATATCTGTGGTCCTGCTGGCTTTTCTTTGGGAGTGTTTACACCTTTTTCCACTGCCATGGGCTGGTGAGATTTTATTTTGTATATTTCTGTTCCTATAGTCAGTTGTCCTTTTGATTGACAGTGATTATTTCTCTTGAGAAGCGTGCGCTTAATTCCAATGGTGAAATAACCTGAGAAAAACGTTATAGAATAAGAAAGGATTTCTTTGTAGATTGGTCAAATATATAGCTGAAGATAGACTAATTAATTGAAAACTACATTATGTTATCATATTTTGACTTATTTGATCTTATTATTATGTTGATTTAAAAAAAATTAAACTGCTAAGACTTGTGGATAAATTAATCCCATCATTTTACTCCCATTTTCACATAGCATCATAGATATTCAAGTATCCATCCACACAAGTGTCAGCTGATCCTGAATTTATTTGTGTAATGCCTTCTGTTCCAGGTTATCTGTGTGGTGTTCGTATGTGCAGCTTTCACTCTCGATGTATTTTTTTTAATTTTTGTACCTCTACACTGGCTGTTCTTTGCTGCCAGCACGTATGTATTGTTCAATTACATATGGCATACAGGTGAGGATCTTTTCAGCATTTTACATATTTAAAATTTTGAAGCATTGCTTTGGCTAAATGGTGATCTTAACAAAGTACTTGTTAGTCTTACCTATCAGTATTTCAAATGTTTATACAAATAAAACATTAAAATAATAACAATGTAAATTTGCTACTTGTTTTTCTTTAATGTGTTAACTGACTTTAAAAACATGCAGTTTCCCCTTAGATGCATCTATATTATCTGCACGTCAACAGAAACAATCAAATGAGCTGTATAATAATAGAGTTTACTGTACAGTGTATAGTCATAACATTACATTATATAATATAGAAATAATAGACTTTTTGTGTTTAGGTAAGAACTGTAATGCACAGCAAAAAATGTATTTGATTAAGACAAGAGTTATTGTGCTCTTAGACTTTTTTTCAACGTGGATTATAAACTCATTTAAAGTTATTTTTAACTTAATATGAAGAAACTTAAGTGTTGAGAACTTTTAAAATCTCTTTTAATAGATGTAAAAGATTATACTGAGATAACTTTAGCATATGGAATGAATTGGCTTCAAGCCTGTCTTTTGAACTACAGTAAAAACTTTAATGAGTGTTGCTGATAACGATACCATACATTTATCTACCTTTTGTTTCCTCAGAGAAAGGACTGTGTTTGTCTACAGTGTCTCTGTGGCTACTACTTGTGTATATTGAAGGATCTCTCAGGTTTAAAGATCTTAAAAATTCTCATGTGAATCTGTCTCATCTTTTTGCAGCTCATTGGTAAGTTGACAAGAAACCTGATTTTTCAGAAAGATACTTTTTTCTATGTGGTCCACATACTGTAGTGCTTGCTGTGTGTAGTATGTAGAAGAAGAAAATAACATTTAGGTTGTCAGAGAATAGACTGCATTTGGAAATACAATGCCATATTACAGTGTATGTGATTTGATAAGAAATGGTACTGTATGTGGCTAGCAATTAAAAAGATGAATGATATGTACAATAGCATTCTCTGAATACAAAAGAATGAACAGAATAAAAAACTAACAAATATACTATACGTTACTTGTCTCTCCTGACATCTGACCTAAAGCCTCTTGGAGCACGATTAAAATATTCTGTTCCTTACAGAATCAAGCATTAGACATGAGTGAATACAGTATTTATTCTCCATACTACTGTAGTTGAGGACATTTATTTTGTAAAATGTGTGATATCCTAAAACTGGTATTGTTGTCAGGGTGTACCTATTGATCCTATCAACACTAAACATATTTCCATCATTGTTTTTTAGCATTGGTTACCCGATAGTTTATTTTGGATTTGACGCCTCCTGTTACTTCACCAGTGTTGTTAAACTGCGAATACAAAAGGCGGTTCGCAATGAAAACGACTTCTATGCGCAGCTCCTGCAACAGTCTCTACCTCCAGGCTTGCAGTTTTATCCAAGATGTGTAACAGATGGCAAGGAAAGTAAGTTGAAACTCGTGATTCGTTTTCTCTGTACATTTGAAAAGGGGGAGGACATTGTGTATGATTATATTATGTAATATTGTTATGAATATTATATATTGTTATGTTACATTATATATTGTTATGAATATTGAATGTTGTATTTTTATTTTCCACTTACCGTTTTAACATTAAGTACTGTAATTTGTAATTTGCTTACGCCTTGAGGTTATTACCTACTGTACATTTCTTTGTTCTCAGAAGAATGCATTTTTAAACACGATTACATTTTCAGAAGTATAGATATAGCGGCTCAGTAGCAGGTTTTCTAAGTTGCAATGCGCCTTGTGAAGCGAAGCCGGTGAAATAACGCTCACTAGAAGGTATTTGTATTGTGTCTTTAGCTTCTAAGTGGAAGACAAAATTCGAGTTTACGCAATACCAGTATCGAAATGGTGCTGCAGCTACAGACGATAAATACTCGCTAGACTGTCTGCAGATAGAGGGCAAGGAGAAGAGGGAAGCAGAATATGCGAAACCCAGTGATCAGAACGCCCAGCCTCCCGATCCCAAAGCCGGCGAAAATGAGCACAAGCAGAGCTCGCCGAACAGGACGGCGATATCCGAGTCCTGCGGGAGTTCGGAATGTCTACCTCAAGAGGACTTGGAAGCTAAAGCCCCAAAGACTTCGAAAAGCTCTTCGCCCAAAGTGCGCAGGACTCCCGGCAACAGCACTATGCCTATTATCAAAGGAGAGAAGAAGCAAAGAAGCACCACCAAAAATACCAGTCCCACCAGAGAGACGGGCAAGCAGAACATTTCCAATAATCACAACATTTACTTAGAGCAGATCGTCAGGTATGTTTATTATTACTATTGTTATGCTAAGTTTTCTTTTTATGTATTGCTTTTGCTTCCAGGTTAGGTGCACTAAGCAACTTTTAGATAGATAGATACTTTATTGATCCCGTGAGGGAAATTGCAGTGCAACAGCAGCTTAACACACACAACACAGCCACAGTGTAACGAATTATAGAATAATAGTACAATACATACAATACAATACAAGAGTTACTCACAGTCCAGACACACAAGAGCAAACTAGAACAGAACAGTACACAGAAAATCGTATCACACGTATGAATATAAATATAGATGTAACCATAGATATAAATATAAATATAAATGTATTGCACAGGTCCCTGGCATATATTGCACAAAAGTGGTTGTAAACAGGAAAAAGAAAAAGAAAGAGAACAGATGTAGCAGTAGATGTGTATATGCGTTTAGTCCAGAAACAGGTCACTGTCGATGTTGCCTCTGCCAAGACGCAAGGTGGATGCGTTGTACAGTCTTATGGCAGACGGCAAGAATGACCCCCTGTAGCGCTCCCTGTCGCACCGTGGATGAATCAGTCTATTGCTGAACGTGCTCTTCATTCCTGCAAGCCTGTCATAGAGGGGATGGGAGAAGTTGTCCATGATGGCCTCTAGTTTAGACATCATTCTCCTCTCAGCCACTACCTCCAAGGGGTCCAGGTCAGACCCAATGACAGAGCTTGCTCTCCTGATGAGCTTGTTCAGCCTTTTGGAATCTACTGCTCTAATCCCAGAGCCCCAGCACACCACTGCGTAGAAAATGGCACTCGCTACCACCGACTGATAAAACACGTGTAGCATCTTACTACACACATTGAAGGACCTGAGCCTCCTCAAGAAGTAAAGTCGGCTCTTCAAGAAGTAAAGTCGGCTCTGTCCGTTCTTATAGATGGCCTCGATGTTCTTAGACCATTCCAGTCTATCGTTGATGTGCACTCCCAGGTACTTGTATGAGTCCACCATCTCCACGCCACTCGTTTTTTTTTACATGGATGGCCATGTGCCTAAATAGGCAGACCAGGCATAAAAAAACCCCGACATGACCAACTGCTGAATAAAATGTGACAGTTCTAGACAGTTCTAGACAGATGACCAAAATAATTTCCAAACACGATGCGTTCTAAAATAAGAAGATTAGGGTGATTTACCTGAGAATTTCAGTAGAAGATGACTCATTGCAGGGTGGCATGTTGGTGCAGTGGTTATCATTGCTGCCTCGTAGCATTTGGGCTCTGGGTTCAATTCCAGACCTGGGTTGCTATCTCTGTGAAGTTTGAATGTTCCCCCATGATAGTGTGGGTTTCCTCCAGGTGCTCCAGCTTCCTCCCAGTCCAAAGACATGAGAGAGTGTTATATACAGTATTTATAAAGTATAAAGATAGTCTTAAGAGAACCTTGATACTGTATATTATATATAAAGTATGTTTAAACAGATTGTTGAGTTAGTAATGACACATTCTGCAGTGAGGTACTGTAGATGCTCCTGTCATTTTTAATTTAAATAATTTTTGCAACATAAGACTGGATTATGTACCTTTTCTCTTGAAAATCTTAATTGAAGCCTTTCTTTGGATTGTTTTCAGATTTGGCAGTTAGATTAGTCAAGTGTACCAGAAATGTAACCACAGGTTCTCAGAGCTCTGGACTATTAATTTCTCAGATGATAACATTTCAGTTTGATTTGACATAACTACTGTACTTTCCCATATTATACGTTAATGGCTTTGTAAAAGTATGTAAATACAAAAACAATAATATTCTGTTTCATTTGACAGTACCATGGAAAAAAAAATACATTAAGCGATGTGTCACTCTTTAATATCCATGGGTATGTAATAGTGAATTTATGTTTAGAAAAATGATTCAAAGTCATTGTTTGGTCTAGTGCAAATCTCTTTTCAGATACACATTTAAAAACTATGTTGGTTCACTTTCAATTTAAAAAAAAATGTTCTTATGATAACAGCTGTTCTGTGTATTTAGATTAGAGCAGGAGCTCAAGAAGTTGAAAGGAGAACTTCAGAGTAGTAAGCAGAACGAGCAGGAACTTCGCAGCCACTACTGCAACCTCACCAACAGCGAACGAAGCCTTCGTCCAGAAATTGGCCTGCTTCGTCAGGAAAATGATTTACTGCAAAATAAGTATGTCTGCGTTTTAAATTTTGAATTTAATATCAATTTGACAGCTATCACTAAAATGTATTGTGAAGTCTGACTTACACTATTAAAAGTAAAAAAAATAAAAACAGTTTTCACAAAATTACTCTTATGATTAAGCAAAGGATTGAGTAAATCATATTAGTCCATTTTTAACAGGTGAAAGAATGAAACAAAACATGCTTTTACTGCATGTTTAATTAAACAAACAAGATAACAGTACATTTATATCTAATTTTAAATCTACTTTTTATGACTTGTTTTAACCTTTTCTGTTTGTTTTCAATTTGGCTCCAGTCCGAGACAGACGTGGTGTTTGAAATCTCCACTAAATAACGACTGAAATTGATAATAACTGGCAATAGTGAACACTTTTATACAATACAATATGATAATTCTTTGTCTGATTTCTCAGGAATTTGGTTTGCCTCCAAGCTGCTGTGTTTTCCACAGAGACAGAAAAAAACATACAAACAATACAAATATAAATAATTAATGACATCAACCCATACACAATCATTATGTTCCACTCCTACAGGAATTCGCACAGATTACCAGAACATGTACAGTAAGTATACTCCCTTACAGTCACCCTAAGCCCCTATAGTTGCACATACCCATTAATTTTTTCACATAACCACAAACTAATTTATTACATGTTTTATTGAATACCGTAGAAAGGAATTCCTGATTTTGTTGCATCCGCATTGAGGGGCTCTAACATGTCTGTTTGAAACCATCAGTTGATATTCTTTATGCAGAAAGTGTGAGGGATCGGAGGACATACTAACAGCTAGTTTTAATATATCCCTAATGTAAGCAAAACCCTGCTCCCACTATCTTAGAACATATCCCCAAGCGTATCTTGGCTTTTTGCTGCACAGGAAGACCGTTATACCAAACGGTTATTCCATACTGCATGACACTTTGTACCACACAACTGAAAACATAGACAGTATCTGACTACTAACGCTAAAAACCCATAACTTGCAAGAAATGTAAATTCACTGTTGTACAGTACTTTGGTACAAATAAACCCAACATGTACAGTACTTTCCATGACAGATTTGCATTTACTGTGTCTATTCCTTGATATTTATAGGATTTTTTCCTTATTTGAAATAGTATATACTGTGTGGTAACAAACCAACACCACAAAACATTCACTTTTCATGAAAACCGTGCTTATTTTAAGGAGTGTAGGTTTATTAGCATACCTATAGTAAAATTGGTCTCTTTGTGATCAGCAAGTGGAAACATACAGTATATAGTAGGCTAAGGCATGCTTAAACAACAGTACTTGCTCTCTAAGAAAAATATTAGTTTTGAGGGCTTATTTTCGACTGCCCGTTTCTTACTTTTGTGGCAACTTTAAACACCAGTCTTCCTCTCGACAAATTTAAGTACAGTAGGTAAGGTCAGGTTTAACTTCATTAAGATTTTCCCCCTTTCCAATGCTGACCTGCCTCAAGCAGGCTTAGTTTCTGAGATTTGAAGATTGAAATCAAGGATTTGTGTAACTGGTATCCCTGGAAAAAGGCTTTAGCTTGTCTTTTGACTGTGTTAATAGCGCTGCTTTTTGTTGTAGAATCCTCTGTATAATGAAGTCCAAGCAGAGGGACAAACAAATGTGTGCATTGCTCGAGAAAAAGATAAAGGCAGAGATGGAAGCTCGGACGATTATCGAGAAGCAGCTGTCTGAAATGCGAACCCGGAAACACGACGAGTCCTCTGTAATACCTCAGGGTGCTCTGCTATCCACAAACAGGTGAAGTCAAACTCCGATTCATTTGAAAATTACCTGGAAAATTATCCTATCTAATACATAACAGCTCCTTGTATATAAATTTAGTTTTCATTTTGGCTTAAGGGGAAATCATTAATTTCCTTTTGAATTGTATGTTTCTGTGCCAAGGAAAACATTACAATTTTTCCCCCCTAAGGCATTTAACCATTTTTATTCCCAAAACATTAGAATTCATATTCATTGCTAAAATACATTTTAATGTAGTATTATGTTAGGCAGCATGAGCTAATTAATATGAAGCCTTTGCAGGTTAGCTCTGTGCTGGACTAGCATCCTGTACAGACATCCTGTTGTGTTTTCTGCATCAGGGCTCAGCTCTCTGCAAACCTTGAAATATAAAGTGCTTATTGAGAACAGAGGAATGATAGAATGGCAGAACTCATTATTCATTTTGAAAAGAAAGTATTCAATACATGTTTAAAAAGGTACCTTGGCAAACCTGAAATAATGCACAATCTTAAGAAACCTGTAACAGCACTGATTGTGAATGAAATCAGAACATTATGGCATCTTCCAGTCTTGATAGGTCTGCATTTCAAGATTAGGGCTTGTTTGTGCCATTGTGTAATTTATCAAAAATGACAAGACAAAAATGTATCTGTGCTATTCTGCTCAGAAAGAATCTCCTTTACATTTTTTTTTCTGTCTTTAGAAAACAGATAGGAAAGCTTTCTCTCCTGTCCCCCTCTTGTTTTTCTAAAGTTAAGTTAAAAATCCTGGTTATAGGTTACAAACAAATATAGTGCTGCCCTTTACAATGGAAAAACATTAGAAAGGGAGTGGTATTGACATACCTTGTTATGGTGTTGCTTGAGAAGAAAGCACAGCATAATTACAGTTGCAATTTTCTATTAAAAGCTTTTTGTGACAAAACGTAGAGATACATTTTCCTTTATCATTTTTTCCTTTGATTTTGTATTATACACATTAAGGCATTGCACAGAATGTCTTTTTTAAAATGCTTTCCATTTCTTTGTTTTTGTGTGGACTGCTTGAAAGCTTAACACACACAAAAGCAGAGTCTTTCCTTGTCAGCTAAGCCTAAAAGCTTTTTCATCTCTCGTGTTAGGCAGGAACACACAGAGACCCTAAAGAAAAAAGCTAAAGAGCTAGAGACAGAGTACAAACAACTACAGCTGGAATTCCAGGGGAAAGAGGGTCAAATTATAGCTCTAGAAAATGAAGTGGAGGTAAAAATAAATTACTTTACGTGTTTAAGGATGTTGATGTGAGTTAAGTCTGTGTCTGACATTTGTTTCAGTGGCATTATTTTGTATCCATTTTACACACATTTGTTGTTGTTTTTGTGAAAATTATGTAGACAATTGTATGATAGATTGTAGTTTTATGGTATGAGTTGTATGATTAGATTTAGATTAAAACTGTTTTTCCAAACATAATAGCTATAGCAACCAACCCTTCTTTCTTGGTAACATTCCATGTGTTCTTAGTGTCATATCTACAGTACGTCAGTCCTTTTCTTTATTATCTTACTGTATCGTGTTATTTCCATTAATTTTTTTACTCCAGGCATTTATTCTGATTATTTGAGAAGTAATGACATACTGTATGATTAAAACCTTAAAAACATCCTAAATTAAAAGGGAACTTTGCTGTGCAGATCCAAACGTCAGGAATATGGCAGAGATGAACACATGTAATGCACTGATGGTAAAACAGAACACCAGGGTGCTTCCTGGCTTTATTGTTCTGGGCTCAAGCAAACATAAAGTTGTATAGAAGGCAAAGAACATCTAACTTTCAACAAACTTTACTTGACTTTACAGTACCTTATTTAAGCTGGGACAGGTACCCAGGTCAGAGTATACAGTACAAACAAGAAGGAAAACTGCATTTGTGTTTTTCACTTCAAAAGATCCATAATGCTTTTCATCCAGCAGAGAACCCATGATGTGACAAAAACTGTAAGTGCATCACCCACTTGGCTAATGGTCGGTTAGTGGCAGCCATTATGGACCAGAAGGGCCACTACCCAGCAGACCAGGTTGAGAAGTGAGAACGTACTGTACAGTACCAATTGTATCAAGGGTGAAATTAAAGTAGGCAAGTAAGAGTAAGTCCAAAGTCATATTTAGCCAACACAACTAGGTTATCACCCTTTCTCTTTCTCATCGTGCCATTGGATATTTAATGACCAAGTAGTCAGGACCTGAGCTTAATATTTCATCCTAAAGAATAATCTTTCATACACTACAACACATACCCTGGTACATGTCGTTGCGGGTTCTGGGTTTCAGTGGGTTTTATCCTGCCTCTTATCTAAATCAACTGATTGATCTAAATATTTTCCAATACTTCATTTTTAAGGCCTCAAAACTGCAAACTGAAATAGTAACATTAAAACCTGTGCTATTCTAGCCCCTGGAAATGATGTTGCTTTTTATTTCTTGACCATTTAAATGTTTTGGCTTTGAACTTTGTCTTCCTCTTGTGTTAAAATTGGAAAGCAAAATCAGATACACTTCTCCAATGAGTAGGAAATTGAAAAGGAAATACAGTAATAGCTGTTTACTTTATGTTACTACAGTAGTTATGCATTCTAGATTAAGAGGGTATGTCAAGACACTGAATTTGCATGTTTTCCATATTTCTTCAGGGCAATTATGAGACTCATTTACTCTCCTTCTGAATATACAGTTTTTGACTTCTGTTTTAAATTAACACAATGGAATTTCTTTCTCTATTTTCTGCTTTTTTGTCATTTGTTGAGATAACACATACTGTAGTTCATTTTTACATTATTTTATTTTGTTATTAATATTCTTTCTTTACCAGCAGTCACTTAAAATATTGACTCTCGATACCTGCACAATACTTTGTTCATTGTTTCCATTAAACCTGTTTGATAAAATACCGTTCACTCCAATTTTTAATGCTCATTTGTACTGTTGGAAAATGCACGCAAATGTTTATCAGACATAAGTCTTTACAGAAAAATACAGCTTAGTAGAAAACATTGAAAGCAACATGACAAAAATATGATTGGTGCATTTTGGAAACAACATGGTTATCACTTAGTGGAACCCATCATACTTTTGTGATTTACATTCGTTTTCCCCAAATGCAATAATACTAATACAATACAATAATACTAAGCAATGCGTATAACAAATAAACTTAACAGTTTTTGTAAGAGGGAGTTCATTGTCTGTTTTCTTGCTTTTTCATGGCAGGGGCTTCATAAATATAAAGGTATTGAGCAGGACGCTGACATGCTTCTGACAGCGCTCTCAGCTATGCAGGATAAGACCCAGCATCTAGAATACAACCTAAGTGCCGAAACCAGGATAAAACTGGACCTTTTCTCTGCCCTTGGAGATGCCCGGCGCCAGTTAGAAATAGCCCAAGGTTTCTTTATTATTATTATTATTATTATTATTGTTGTTGGCATTATTCCCACTGTGTGCTTGTTGTTGTGTGACATATCCCTTAATGCAATACTGACTGTCTCAATGCTTTGGGTTTTTTTAATTGAAGCTACAGAAAGAAGAATTTAAAAAGGTAGTTAAGGAGGTCAGGTCCGTACCAGATACTGGAGCCCGGAGCCACTGTGGCTCATCAGGCCTGATCTCAGCCTGGTTTGTGTAGTAGTCTGGCAGACAAGCACACATGACTGCACCCCCCCTCCTGGATGGGACAGTGATCCATTGCAGGAATTGTCCCCCGGCAATGCTGGTCCCCACTTACTGTATACAGCTGGGTGGACTGGGGCAACTGGGGTAAAGTACCTCTCCCAGGGGTGAAATGGCAGCTTGCAGTACCTGCACCTGGGATTTGAACCCGCAACATGTCAGTTTTGAGGCCAAAGGCTTACCCCCTATACTACTCCACCCCTATTTAACAAAATAAACTGAAATGTGACCTTTTCTGTTGTTCTGGCATGTTGTTTTCTTTTGATTGCGCTCCTCCAGATCTCTCCGAAGTGAGCGAAAAAGGTCTCTGTCTTCAAGGTTGCTATTGCTTTTCTCCATTCAAAGGACAGAAGCTCGAAGTGCTGCAGGGGCTTTGTCAGTTTCCTGCTCCATCTGTAAAGCTTTGTCCCTGGAGCCTCATAATGAAGAGCTTGAGGTTACTAACAGCTGTCACTCATTATGTGTTTATTTTTATCCTACAGGAAAAATACTGAAGCAGGATCAAGAAATTGGGGAAATGAAACAGAAGATTGCTGAAGTCATGGCTGTCATGCCTGGGATCACATATGCTGTTCCACATCCAATTACACCTCAGTACTTAACAAAGTTTCTCAATTCAGAGAATTACATGCTTGATCCCAGTGCATTGATGTACCAGTGTCTTAAGAAATGAATACCCTACAGCGCCATCATAGAAAAGGACACCTTTCCTGGAATGTGTTTTGAAAAGCCACTAGAGTCTTTGTGAACTTGGAAAACCGTCAGTCTCAAAGACACAGAGCAAGAATGGCGAATACTGCAAATGTGAATGTTTCATGGACATGGGTCACATTGCTGCCTGAAAGGAGCTGAAAGTCTTTTCAAACTTAAGATCTAGGATTTCAGATTTAGGGTAAAGATCCAGTATTTTGCTACAGTAAGTCAGCATGTAAGACAAACAAAGTTTGCTAGTGCTGCAGTACTAATGCCAGAACAGCAATAATGATGTTCCCATCACTATCACTAAGAGCCAGCTTAAACAATAACTCAAAGAGCAAGAAAGCTCAAAATAATATTCAGAGCATACCGTGTGTATTCATGGATGTATTCATAAAACATCGGACCACTCTCGCTGTATACTCTTAATAGGTTTAGTTCACCAAGCTTTTAGTGTTCTACCAAACAAGGGAAAAGTTCCATCTTAACCTGCCTTTGTTCAACAATATTTCCTAAAACATAAAAATGCTCTTTTTATGTATGAGAAAACAATTCTAATCATACAAAAATTAAAAATAACTATTATTTTGGGCACCTATGCTCTATGGTTAGGAATGCGTTTTTTTCATGATCAAATCTTCTAATTAAAAACATTATGCTTTTATATAAGCCTGGTTGCAGTGGGTGGTACCACTATATGTTAATGTAGTAACCAATACCCATTTGATTCATGAACATGAGTACAGTTTTTTATACTGTAATTGTCAGGATTGATCAAGAAAAGGGAGCACATCTTTCCTTATTCCATTTGTTGTCAGAATGTTTTAGAACTACACTTGTAAACTGTATAGTTGCGTATCACTAGGGGCTAAAAGTGACAAGTATCTTGACACTAACTTCGAACACTACACAGCTGACAGATCTGGGCCATCGAGCTTCTGTGTATCTGTGTTGTGGGGGCTGAGGCAGGGAGGGGGAGTTTGTCTTAATTTTAAAAACAGCCGTCTTTTGGGTAAATTCAGCAGTCACTGAACTACAGGTTTAATTTGATACATTTTAAATGATGGTGTCAGTTCTTTGCTGTGATATTGACAGGTTTTGTAGACAGTTTTATGTAGTCATGCCCCCTATCATGTTTGATTATAGGCACTGTGTACTGTAGCTAGAGACAATTACTTATAGAGTTAATCTATAACATCTTATAGATGTTATGTCAATTATATTAACTTTATAATTGACATAACATGTTGACGATTTGATTTCTTCTGCATTGCTTGTTAAAATGAACAAAAAAAGGTGTGAACTTCTTAGATGATAATTCTTACTTCAGTCATTCAAGTTGATCAAAATATCCCAGGGCCCGAGAAAAATAATATAATTCTAAAAAAATAAGATCACTACATTATTGGCCAGATACTATACAGTATGAAGTTTAATTAGTGTTACAAACACAAAGTTCAAATTCAGGTATATACAATTTTGGTTAAACATTGTTATTCTCTGCTAATGCTGAACCAAGGTATTTTATATTGAGATTACTTAATCTGGAGAATTCTCAGGTTAATTTCAAGAGCTCATCTTGAAAGATGCTTTATTTTTCAACTGGTTGACCTAATTGACATTCTGTTTACAGTACATGGAAGTCCATACATGATGTTTGTTTACATACAATCATGGGTCAAAGGTTTACACACCCTCTGAAGAAAAAAAATAATATGTGACATTTATTAATAATCTCAAGTGGACCAATGAATTATACAGTAACAAGAAAAAAAGGCACTAATAAAAATTGATTTATTATGTGTGTTGAATAAAAATTGGTCAGAGTAACATATAGCAAACATGTACTGTATGTGTTCATATTACATGTTATGTGTAAGTGTGCTCAAGCAGATTGTAAAAGTATGTTATTAGATAACATGGTTTCAGTACATGTTCCACCTGATGTAGAATGTTTATTTGAGGTGTTTTGTATTGTTTCACTAAAAGTTAGAAACACATTTTACTTGACAAGCAGGCTAGATATAGATACTGTAGATACTGTACCAACTGCAAATAAAGCAGTGCAGTATATTTTGGGAGATACAGTATATGGTAGCTGTTCCTTTAATGCAATTAGTTCAAAACTCAAACAAGGCATCTTAAATATTTTAATTAAAATAAAAAAAACTGTCACAATGATTGTTTTTTTAGCAAAATCCATTAATTACCATTTTAGTCTTAAAGTATGTCTTGGCGTAACTGAAAAATGTAACTGCTCTGTTATGCATATTTTTTCATACAGTACCAGTTCATTGCACTGGCTGTCAGAGTTTTTTAAAACTGTCCTTATATGTGGAATGGATGTTAGTACACAGTGAAGGAGCCGATATCAAACAGGCACAAGAAAGATGGAAATTAAGGATAGGAACTGAGTGCTTTATGATCAACTTTGCAACTTTCAAAACACAAAACTCTGTCCCTCATTCTATGAATGAAGACTGTTGCAGCTTATTTTGAAGTTTAGGTTTTGAAGACCTTTTCATTTAGTTTTTACCAAAAAAAATGTTTTTGGTAAAAACAAAATCCCGGGCTCCCAAATTCACAAACCCTTACCAGAAACACAAATCGGTTTTATAGAGGCCCAAGATTTAATCCAGGCTGTATTACTCATGTACTGTGGCTAGGAGTCTCCAGTGGGGTACTAAATTGATGCTGCTGGCTCTTAGTAGTACAGAGTCAAAATAAGAATTCTGTGCTTGCTCTCCAGTAACAATTGCTGAGGTTGTCTTGGCAGTATTCCTGGGACCAGTGTCTGTCCTCTGGCTGGCTATTAATACCCAATGTTTCCTTAGGTGGAAATAAAACTTCTTCCTTGGAGTGTGTATACTGTGGTTTGTAAAGTTGGTTTTGGAAAAAAATGAATAAAAAATGATTTACTCATTTTTGGAAAACAACAAGTAACACCTGAGGTTTATTAAGACACAAGGAGAAGTGATGTTATTCTAATAATACAGTAGTGCTAATAAATTATTGCCAAAATACCCATATATCCAGAGTATTTCAGTGGTTTATACAATAGTTAATCTGCCTTTTGAACAAAGGAAACAGAGAATACATGCATTTTTTCTGTGGGTAAATTGTTTAGTGGTTCTTATATGTATGTTGCACATCAGAAATATTTGGTGAAATTATTTATTTGTATTTAAATCAAATGTAGTTATGAATATTTTTGTTTAAATGAAAGCCAGAATTTCTGACGTGGGATCAATCACTTTCTGTTTCTTGGGGACTTATTGTGATTAAATATGACCAAAAGCATGCTTCAATCATTATTACTATATTTATTTGTTAAATTACTTGTGAAAATGTCATAGACAGTCTTTCTTGCATCTATATAATTTCATACACAACTGGTAACAAAAAAGATTTTTTTGTATTTATTGAAATGTAGTTATATCTTTGAACATAAGTGCTCAATACTGTTTTACAGTAACTTTGATACTTTAAGAGATTTTGTACACTTTTCTTTGTAGTATCAGTGTATTTATAAAAACTTGTTGAAAATATTATAGTAATGACTTTGTGGACATTTTACTTTTTTATTTAAGATTATTGCTTGTTTGTGTGTTTGTTATTTTTTTTTATCCAATGCTGAACAAGTACAGTTGCTTTTGTAAAGAAAAATATTTTTCAGGCTTGATTAAAAAAAAAAAACTTGTACGACATTTTGTAAAAAAAAGTTTGATTTTACTTTGTTTCTCATTGTCTGCATGCTAACATACGTGGGTGAATAATGTTGTTTAATTTGGGCCCTTTAAAAATGTTGTTTTTACCTGATCTGATGCAGAGCAATATGAAAACTAATCTCTGATTTCAGGTAATGTCTAATTTTAGTGAGGAAAAGAAGATGGTAATCAATCTAAGGGCTTCTTTGTTTACGACATTTATGCTTCAAAAATAAAATGTTTTATAAAAAAATGCATAATGACTCTTTCAATGACCACTGTTCTTTTCTTTGAAAGTCATGTCATTCATGGCATTTCAGTGCAAACTGTATCTGTGTTTCATATTTGAGATACTGTACTTGCCAAAAGGGGTTAAGAATCAATATGAAAACTCAAAAACACATGGTTTTATTTAATGCAAGAACAGTAAAAAAAAGGCCATGTCCCTCTTGAGTAATGAAGATCTCTTCAAGTATTGAAGACCAGTCCATAGAAATGAGGAAACAAGTTCTGTGAGGGACTGACTGCACTCCAGAAGGCAGAAGGTCATCTCACTGGCCCCGGCTCATCATAACCATCGGATCTATTTCCATAATCACACAGTAAAATTCATAATGCAATGACTACAGCATTGTAGTCATTGTGACATGAGGACAACTGAGATATAAAATAATCTTCGTGTCAAATCACATCTGATGAGGTAGCAGGGAGCAGCAGAATGTAATATTCACTTTGCCTTTGATAGACCTGACAGAAGACGGCATGTGTGGAGATATCATGGTGTTTATTATACTGAGCATTTCGTAGTCCAAGCCAACAAGTGACGCAGTGAAAATGTGATGATATGGGAGAGGAATCTCCTTTATTATAAGAAGTGATGTTGGTTCAAACTGAAGTCAACATTGCTGCAGATAATTGATGATGTCCTTGAGCCAACAGTTTTTTTCTGTTCCTACAAGCCAATCCAGAAGTTTCCAGTTTTTCGACTGGATAATGCAAGACCACAGCTAGGACTACCTGTAGAATGGTATGACTTCACAACATGAATGTGAAGGTCTTGGTGGGCCTAGATTTGTGTTCCAATGTGAGAATATTGGAAGTGAACATTGCTGGAACCAACTAAGTAATGCCAACAACGGGTGACGGAGACTAGACATCTCATAGCAGTTTATGAACCTGAGTCTAGGAGTCAGTACTTACAGGACTGTGTTAGTATTCAGTCATACCCAATACTAACTTTCTAATGTTTTCATTTGGAGAGTTTTAAAATCTTTTTGATTGAACATTTTTGCTATTTTTATTGTTATTAGAGTTTTTTTAGAGTTGCAACATTTTATAGTGTTATAGAAAGCTGTTGATATTTGAAAAGCTGTATATCTCTGAGGCTATTTCATAAGTAAGCCATGCTCAGTTTCTTCTCACAGAAGCACTGCTCCTGGTACTGTTACATAGCAACAGCATTTCGTGCTATCACAGTACATAGGAAGCAGAAATGAAATTTTGGTACTCTAAAATGGCCTGCAGCTACAGCACCTAAAAATCTACAGTTGACTAAGCCACATCTGCACCACTGCAGAAAAGACATGTTCAAAGATATATTTCAAATCATTGACAACTTAAATCCTTTTTTTACCAATTCCAAAACAAGGGAAAGGAATTAAAATTTCACTTCTTCCTCTTACGAAAATGATATTGTGTTTCTTTCATGACCCAGTTTTTCTGCATTTTCCAGTGTGCAATCTGTAGGTTGAGAATTCATTTTGTTAATTTAAATGCTCCTTAAATTTGCATTAAGTGCAGGTTGATAAAGAAGCATAAATTGCCAACAGTAAGAAGTTTTGTTTTACTAAGGAACAATTTTTAAGGTTTAATTATTAAGTAGAAAGCACTCAAATGAAACAAAATCAAAAGAGAAAAAGTGAAGAGTATAATTTCATTAATTAAGAAAGTGTTTTACACTGTTAAAAAATAAAACTACTGAATATGTTCATCTTATCCTAAACAATGCATTTTGATATTGTATTAGAAAATACATATTAAATGACCCCAGAAATTCAAAGTTGTTCAAAATTCAAATCCAATGATGCCAGTAAGCACTTAATAATATAGTGATATTACGTTCCCTCAAGGGATGCTTAAACATAATAATAGCAGGCCAGACTATGAGGAGACTATATTATCAAGAAAACCGCTAGTTGAGATGTACAGTACAAGGGGCATTGCATCACCTCTAAATTGGGTGGCATTTTGTTAAATTACTGGTGATAGGTTAAAAATGCACATTCCCACATGGGTGAGATGAGTAGTATTTTTGGGAAAGGGCATCACAGTGTTAGTAGGGTTTTTTCAGGGATAAGCTTTTATAAGGTCCTCTTAGGTTTAACAGCTATATTTTGTAAGTAAAATCAAACTCCAGACTTGTAACCAGAAAGAAAATGCATTTAGTCCAATGAAGCAATGTCTTATATCAATTAAGGCTTCAATTATCTACTTAAAGTGAGATGGAATGAAACCCAACAGGTGTGTGAGGCTCCAGAACCAGGATTGGGAACCCCGTGCTCAAGTGGAAAGTTGTCCCAAACCTGGAGAACCACACACTATCTGGTTTTCATTCCAGAAGAGCTTAATTGCTAATTGAACTATCAAACTTCTTCTTTAGGATTTCATTTCACTTATGAAATATACCAGTATAAGATGTGCAAACAAAGCCTCTTGCATTGCACAGTGTTGCTTTAAGGATTTTGATGCACTCAGATCCCTGGATGTGTGGTCCATGTGACTGGGCCACTTTCCTACCCTAACAATCACACCGCAGAGAGAGCTCCAACATGTTTAAAAACTGAAAACAGCCAAACAGTTCAAACTAATCCTGTTATTAAGTAAATTAAGAGTTCAACTGTGTAACTGAGAGCTCAGCTGGAACATAAACCAGCAGGTGTGTGGGTCAACAGGACCAGGATTGGGAACCCCTGAAGAAGGAAGAGTCCACATGCCACTGGTATTTTAAATGACATTTCAAATGGTTTTAACAGCACAGAAGGATGAATAAAGAAAAAAAGCAAGAATTCCAGCACAGTTACATTAGCTACTGAAACATAAGTGAAATGACCTATACACACAAAAGACTAAAGGAAAAAAAACATACACTTACTTTAAAGGTCTTACTACACTTTTCTCCAGACCTCCGACTATCGTGTTGAGTGTCTGTTCAGCCCCCAATGTCCCAGTCAACAGAAGGAAATAAACACACATTAGCTCACTCACTAGCCATACATTTCCCTTCAATCAATGTTCTTCTATGGCTAGCAGCCATATCACCTTGCACCTCACAACTGGCAGCCCCACTGAAGCTCACAGGTGTGAGCCTGGTCAGTACCTAGATGAGAGACCTCCTGGGAAAGCTAAGGTTGCTGCTGGAAGAGGTGTTAGAGGTGCTGTCCCTGCAGTCTGTGTGGGTTCTAATGCCCCAGTATAGCAATGGGGACACTATACTGTAAAAAGGCATTGTTTTCTGGATGAGACGTAAAACCGGGTTCCTTACTCTCTGTGGTCATTAAAAATCCCAGTGCATTTTTTGAAAAAAGTAGGGGTTTTACCCTGGTGTCCTGGCTAAATTTCCCATTGGCCTTTACTAATCATGGCCTCCTAATAATCTCCATATATGAACTGGCTTCATCACTCTGTTCTCCTCCCAACTGATAGCTGATGTATGGTGAGCATACTGTCTGCACTATGGCTGATGTTGCATCATCCAGTTGGGACAACACATTGGTGGAGGGAGTCCCAATTATTTGTAAAGTGCTTTGAGTGGTGTGTGCAGAAAAGTGCTATATAAGTATTTTCCATTTTATTTTTAAGGGTGGTTTATTTCGCTCTCACACACAGTGAGCACAAGCCTGACAACCCCAGTGTTAATTAACATTTTTTCCGAAGCAGCCTCCCTGTGGCCTCCTGAGAAATGATGTCCTAGTCCCTCCTGAACACTATAGAGTTCACAAGCTAAATGGGGGAAGTTTCAGGGCGTAAAGACTATGACACATCTTTGGCTCCCAGTAGACACCCTCTGTATCTTTAATCCACATTCTGCCACACTTAACATGGATCACAAAAGAACACAGGGTATACCTTCATTTGACCTGACCCAGGTATTTTGAGAGAACATAACTAATAACAATATAATTTAAAATTTAAAATTTAACCAATGGCACTACCACTATGGTTTATTTGCTCAGATTATTTGTAAAGCTGGAGATCTTCCAGTGCCTCCCCAAACAGCTTTACACAGGAAGTATTCAATGAGTTTGCTAGTTGCTATGACAACTATATAGTCTGTGTTGATCAAACAGATGAGGATATTCTCACTTTTATGTACTTTATGCATTGACCTGATGATAACTCTGTGACAGTGCCCGAGTTGATTGCTGTTATATACATTTACAGTATGCTGTCTTCTAGGGAATCTGTGGAACCTTAATTATTATATTTTGTGTACAATGTCTTTAATAAAGTTGGTGTATTCATTTACTGCGTAATTAGGTGCGATGTTGCATACCTAGAATAATATATCACAGAATATTAATATGCTGTATGCTTTCAGAGTAAGCTATAACCACTGTACCAACTTCTTACCTGTAAAGCTATTTTCAGTACTATCCTGAAACTCACACTGGGAAATTCTTGCTTCAACCAGACTAACTTGAATTCTACTTTTCCAATAACTGATTTATAGTGTTCCTTAGTTGGTTCTGTGGACATATATGACATAATTGGAAGAATACTGTAGACCTGGAATTTATTTTAAATAAGACCAGCATCTTTAAATAGTACTACATTTATTTCTGTATTGAATCACCATTCCCTTCTGTATAGAATTTATGCCAAAATTGAGGAGATAGTAATCTGTATAGACTGTACATTGTAATTTATTATTTTAATATAACTCTGGTGATAGTATAGTATAGCTGTAATTAAGAAAGCAATACGATCCGCCTTTACCAGAATAAGAAACACTGTACATGCGCTAGCCACCTGTGACAAAGAAGCAATTACATGGAGTGAAGCGAGTGAAACAGCCAGCAGGTTATGCACTTGCAAGTCTTGCCTTTGCTCTTGTATCAAATTGCTGCAATAGGTTTATCCTAGCTGATGCATCAAGCAAAAAAAAGGCTCTGAAATGACTTTCCTTCTTCAGAGCTGGTTAAAAAAAAACAAATCTCAAAGTGGG